TTCGGGCGATCTTTGGCCGTCTCGGGCCTCTCTTGGACCGTCTAGAAAGCTTCTCGGGGCCCTCTTGGACCGATCTGGAGCCCTCTTGGACTCCGAAACAGAACTCCGGCATCTCTGGTCCGACCTTGCCGGGACCTTGCCGGGGACTTGCCGGGGACTTGCCGGGACCTTGCCGGGGTACTTTTCGTCTGGGGACCCCCAGGGGCCGCCCCGCGCGCGCGAACTAGAAATATTGTTAACCAGGTACCGGAGATCTTAGCACGCCCTGGCCCGTTGGGCCGGCGAATTGCCGTGCTGCCGAATATGGCAGGCATACATCTTGCTCATTTCACTTTCTTCGGAAGTTCTTTGAATTTTTTGGGGGCCAGGATCCTTTCATTTCAAATTGATCCATCCTGGGCCTCTTCCTGGCCACTAATTAGGGGGCCAGGAACAATTAGAAACGAGCACAATTAGAAATGAGCACGGTTAGAAATGAACGACGTGTAGAGGTTGACACCAGCACCAATTTCGGTGGTGTGCCTCCACCGAGGGAAGAAGATCCCGATCTCGGCGATGGTGGTACTATCCTGGCCTCCAAGATGGCCGACATGTTACCACCAACACCGAAAGCTAGGATCATCTTCCCCCTGTGGAGGCAACCCCCTGTGTTGGTGTTGGTGGGCAATTTCCAGGCCTCTTAGAATGGAACTGCGGGCCACGCGCGCGCGTGTCGAAATCATCCAACCAGCATCGCGCACCCGCCAACTCCGACAAACACAACCATTGCGGGCCACACACGGCGTGCCCGCGCGCGCGCGTCGGCACCAAGGCGAAGCCACAGGCTTTCCGAGCAGTTCAAGGTAGAGGTATCCAAGCACACGTGAGCTCTCACTGATATTCCAGTGCGAAATCTGATTGAGTTTCTGCGTGCGCGCGCGTGCTTGACATCCTCATCAGCACCGTCGCCATCATCATCGCAAGCGTCAGCATTGCCACCGTCATGATGATGATGATCATCATCATCACCATCACCATCACCATCATCATCACCACCATCATCTTCACCATCACCATCATCATCCTCATCCTCATCCTCATCATTATCATCATCACAATCATGTTCATCTTCATATTCATCTTCATATGATTCGTCATCTTCATCTTCATATTCAGATTAAGATTCATCTCCATCTCCATCCCCATCTCCATCTCCATCTCCATCTCCATCACCATCGCCATCGCCATCGCCATCGCCATTTCCATCGTCGTCATCATCATTGGTAGCCAGCTTGCCAAACTGGAAGGACCTGCACCGTACATACTGGAGAATTCATGGCCAGACTGGGAGCATGAGCGAGCTCCCAACCGAAACAACGCCGCTGCTGACGAAGAAGAACCCCTCTGACGGTGGCAGCGCGCCGGCCCATCCCACCCAGGCCCCTCACGAGGAGGAGACGAGACCGGATCCTGCCAAGGCCGCCAGGAAGGAGACGTACCGCTCGAGAAGGCTACGACCCCGCATAGAGTCCACGTGGCAGCTGGAGGCAAACTGCGAGGCGGAAGGCCATGGTGCGAACTACGTTGACGAGCGAGGGCTGGCCACGTTTCAGCACAGCGAGTTCTCGTGCACCCGCAAAGAGGGCGATGCTCAGCTCATCAAGTACTCCGAGGAGGTGGGGACTTTCAAGGCGCTGTTCATGGTCTCGGGCACGGTGCTCACGGACAAGGACCTCTGGCGGACTTGCGCCACGTACTGGACGATCACCATTGTCTGCGCCACCGCCGTCATCTTGGGCCAGAGGAGCTCTCTGTCCTCTCTGTCGATGAGGAAAAGCCACATGACTGATATCTCGCAGAGTTTTGAGAGGATGGCCGGCTATTTTGAGGCCCTGATTGGGTTCATGGTCAGCATGTTCGTGACCACGCTCTTCAGGCGCTGGTGGAGCATCCGAGAGGAAGGCGTCGGGGGCCTCTGGGGCGCCATCGATGACCTCATTCTGCTTCTCTCGATCCAGATGCCAGGCAAGGAACATCGGGAGGTGAAGGAGCGCATCCTCCGGCTCGGCCTCCTCTCGCACAGGCTCGTCTACGCGCAGGCCCAGGGCCTGGAGTCGAGGGAGGACCTCCAGAAGTTCTTGGACGTGGGCCTGCTGAGGATCGAGGAGCTGGAGATACTCTGCAAGGAGACATCGAAGGCGCAGGTTGTGTGGGTGTGGATCGGCCAGGTCATACACCAGCTAGCCCTCAAGGACAGGCTTCCGTTCCGCGACCTTGTCGTGCCGAAGCTGAACGAGCTCTGCGTGAAGGCCCGTGGCTCCATCGGCCTGATATTCGCTTACACGGACACCCAGGTGCCGTTCGCCTACGTGCATTTGCTGGTGCTGAGCATCATTTTGTCGAACAGCCTGATTGCTGTGAAATGCGGGCTGGCCATTGGCTTCGCGGCAGGCGACGGCAGTGACATCAACACTGGCCCTGTGATCAAGATTGCGGTGCAGGTGTTCCATCTGGCGATCATCCCGTTCTTGTACCATGCCTTCGTCCACATGGGCCTGGAGCTCGCCAACCCTCTCGGCTTTGATTACATGTGTTTTCCCGGCTACTCGTACCACGTCTGGATGCGAAACGAGAACATGAGTTTCGTACGTGCGGGGGAAAAGACACCCCTCCACCTTCTTGCAGTTTGATCGCGTTGTAGTCAAGACGCTGACTTCCGGATTTTTTGTTTGAAGGAGGGGCTCTGGCTTTCGGACCGTTCCCTAGACCTAGGTCGGGGAACCTATACGACCAAGGCTCGCCGTGGCCAGAAAAGCCCCTCCGCTCCTTCTTCGGCGTTCCTTAGCACGACGGCTGTCACAGGGCCAGCCGTTCTCACGTGCCTTCTCTGGCCGTTGAGAGTGTGAGCTTTCCCTTCTCCCCTCTCCTCCTCCCCATCCTTTTTGAACTGTTGCATTGAGCATCTGGGGCACGCATGGTTTGCTTCTGGAGACTTGCTCGGGGAAGACGGTCATCGAGACATAGTCATTACCCTGGGAGCAAGTGTCAATCGTGTATCTTCCATTTGCACGGTGCAGTCGCGCACGACCAGAACAGATGGTGTCGCAAGTGTCACTTGACCGTGCCACAGACACATCCGCCTCAATTGTTGTGGCATGCATGCATCTTGAACACAAATGATTACAATCGTCGTCATCGTCATTTCCCAAATCTGCTTTAGCATAAGGGGTTCTTACCTGGCCATAAGAATTGTCCGAGACCTCTGCCGGCTTTGCTGATGTGGCTGTTGCCATTTATTGTGTTGTGATTGTTGTCGTTTCTATTGCTGTTCTGTTATGTTGTTGTCGGTCGTTCTCGTCATGACGTTGATGCGGTTGTTTGCTGATGCTGTCGCTGCTCCTCGTGTCGTTGTCCGTGCCGCTGTTGCTGTTCACGCGATTATGTTAGGCGTCCTGGCCCTGTAAAAGAGGCGACTCTCACAAGGATAGTGGCCCTCTGGACGGGCCGGAGACCTCTGCCGGCTCTGTGGGCTGGTTGTGCCTCAGGCGCCCTGGCCCTTGCAAAGTGTGGCGACCCACACACAGATGGTGCCCCTCCTGGGCGGGCCAGAGACCTCTGCCAGCTTTGTGGGACAGTTGTGCCTCAGGCGCCCTTGCCCCTGAAAAGTGGCGACCCTCATGGCGCCCCTCTGGAGGAGCTGGGGACTTCTGCCGGCTCTGTGCGCCAGTTGTGCTTCAGGCGCCTTGGCCTTTCGAAAAGTGGCGACCCTCACGAGGATGGTGCCCCTCTCGGCTGAGACCTGCGCCGGCTCTGTGGGCTAGTCGTCCTCAGGCGCCCAGGCCCTCGAAAAGTGGCGACCCTCACAAGGATAGGAAGACCTCCGCTGGCTCTGTGGGCCAGTTCCCCTGAAAAGTGGTAACCCTTACGAGGATGATGCCCCTCCTGGAGGGGCCAGAGACCACTGCCCGCTCTGTGGGCCAGTTGTGCTTCAGGCGCCTTGGCCTTTGAGAAGTGGCGTCCCTCACGAGGATGGTGCCCCTTCTGGGCGGGCTTGAGACCTCGGCCGTCTCTGCAGGCCGGTTGTGCCTGAGGCGCCCTGGGCCACAAAAGGTGGCAAGCCTCGCGAGGGTGGTGCCCCTCAAGACGGGCCGGAGACCTGCCAGCTCTGTGCGCCCTGGCCCCTGAAAAGTGGCGCCCTTCCCGAGGATGGTGCCCCTCTGGAGGGGCCGGAGGCCTGGCTCCCGGAAAATGGCGACCCTGACGAGGATGGCACTCCCGTGGAGGAGCCGGAGACACCTTCGCCGGCCCTGTGGGCGAGTTGTGCCTCCAGGCGCCCTGGCGCTCGAGACGTGGCGACCCGTGCGTCTCGTTCGCGCTGTGTCTCGGCTTCGTGCGCCGCCCATCCGATTAGCATGTCTTGGGCGAGGGCAGGCTGGGAGGGGGTCATTGCGGCGTTCACCATACATGGGATCGCTGTTGGGGTAATCACCACTCTCGCCATTATCACCGTCATCGTTATCGTCCCTCCCTTGCAGTCGCCCTCGTCATCAGCACAATCGTTACCATCATCATCATCATCATCGTCGTCGTCGTCGTCGCCGTCGCCGATGTCGTCGTCACCATCATCACCGGCTCGCCCGAGTCGTGAATATGTTGAGTGTTGGCGGGCGGGATGTGGGATGCGTGTGCGAGCATTGAAGTTGAAGTTGAAGTTGCACCACATTGTACCACGTATGACGCAAGTCGAGATTACAAGATCCCACTATTTGGAGTCCACGCTGGCAAAGATTTCAGCTTCCAGATAATGTTTTGTATAGAGACTGAGGCCAAACGCCCCGCCCGAGCCTGCGGATGCGCCTGCTGTTGCGACATGGGGGAGTTACCCATAAGCAGAGAAGATGGCGGAGGAGGAGGAGGAGGAGGAGGAGGAGGAGGAGGAGGAGGAGGAGGAGGAAGACGACAGGGAGGAGGGGAAAGAGAAAGAGGAGGCCCACAGCTGTTTTGGCTCAGGCACCCCTGCAGCTCCTCAGATTTCGCGATCCTGCGAACGGGCACGGGGCTCGACTTGGCGCTGGCAGCCATGGCCAAGATGGGCGCCGCCTTTGTCTCGGGCGTCACCATCGGACAGCAGGCTTGCGGACGTCAGCTATGCACTTGCGCCAGCCCTGGCCGTACCCGTCCTTGGCCTAGGTTCGTTGTTTTCATCCTCCTCGCTTGGCAACCCAGATGCCCGACGATAGGAGTTTTTCATTTGCCTCTTTTTTCTCGACTTCGGCCGTCGAGGGCCGTTTCCGGGCCCTGGGACTGTCAACACAGGATCCGAGACATAAAACTTCCGGGGAAGGGGTCGGGAGCTCGGGGCCGCATATTGAACAAATGCATTGGAGGCTGCCAAGGTAGGGAGGCACGCAGTGGACGCAGCCCCAATGCGGAGACCGGCCTGCCTGCAGGTGCCCCTCGGAGACTCCTGATTCTGAGGGCAGGGCATTCAGGAGGCCCAGAGACCGGCGTCAAATACGCCCTCGTGCCCCAAGATTGCTGGTCTGCTGTGTACCCAGACCTCCGAGATGTCTTGACTTTTTCCTTGCGGGGTCCCCCAGAGCTCTGGACCACTGCCTGGGCACCGGCCCTCCGCCCCAGATCGCTTTCTGCCGGCCCCGGGGCCGAGAGAGGGCCGCCAGACGCCGGCGGCGGCCTCTGGACGAACCACGGCGAGGGGGACGGCGAGGAGGACGACGACGGCGAGGAGGGGGACGACGACGACGACGACGACGACGACGACGACGACGACGACGACGACGACGACGACGACGACGACGACGACGACGACGACACGTTGGAGGCCTGGAGCACGCCTGCGGCGCGCACACGGGCCCTATGGGCTCAAGATAGGAGGGGCCGGGCCACGGTCGGCGCAGGTGGATCTCTCAAGAGGCTGTAAGGTTTGATCGCTATGTGCTTCGGGGGCGTGCAAGGAAAAGGAGGAGGAGGAGGAGGATGGGGAGGAGGAGGAGGAGGAGGAGGAGGAGGAGGAGGAGGAGGAGGAGGAGGAGAAGGAGAAGGAGGAGGAGGAGGAGGAGGTGAGAGGATGTCTAAGGGGGTGGGGGAGATGGGGGAATCTCTGGGGAACATGGGGGGGGAATATGGGAAGTGGATGTCTATGGGGAGCTCGGGGGGGACGGGGAAGTCTATGGGGGGGGGGGGGGGGGGGAATATCATGGCCAGGCCATGGTATCTGCCCAGATTCCACGGCCCCTCCTCTTCTGTGAATGCAGTCGAGCATCGGGTTAAGAACCCTCCCCCTAGACCCTAGAAGCTGGGCCAGGGCTTCGCAACCAGCTTGCCAGAAAGCTGGCCCAGTTTCTCGAACACGTTCGCCCTTCCAGCGAGAAACAACAGACATTGGCCCAGGTTTCTTTTAAGAAGCGTCCGGGAAGCTGGCCCAGATGTCTCAAGTTATTGTTTTCTTGACCGTATGTTTGGCTGTACGTTCCCTGGCCCCCTCCTGGTCCGCACGCATGCCTCGGGCCATGATTTGCGAACTCCCTTCTGGGACGCCCCCTCGTATGGCATTTCTGTTTTCCCATAATTGTGTTGCTCCAGGGTGCTCTGACAGAGTTTACAGAGTTTTGACAAGGACAACAGAAGAGTTCCACAGGGGAGTCGGGGAGCCCGAGACTGCCCGCCCGAGATCGCCTGGTCTGGCGGCCGCTTCGCGTCAGATTCCTTAACCATGTACTCAGGAGTGGTGCTCTCGTTTCATTGCCCGGCTGCATGTTTGGTCCAGGCGGCCACGATCTCGTCCAACAAATCTTCGAAGGTGCACATAGACGTGCTCTCACCCTTGTCACGGCTGCATATTTTCTTTGACACCCTTGTCCAGGCTGGTATTCGGATGTCTTGGCGGCTTTTTGGGGTAGTTTGTTTCAGGGAGGTCGACCTATAGGAATACACGTTTTCACTAGCCGACCTCCTACTCCTCGACACGCCTCTTCACCTTTGCTGCTATTAGGGTGCTTGCTGGGAAGTGTTTACATTGCAGGGTCTACTTCGATCCCATCGATCCGGCCCGATCCCTTTCAATTCCGAGTTCCCGAGGATCCGATCCAGCCCGATGCTTGCATGGCGCCGTCATGCATCCTGACGCCACCGACTCGAGTCTATTCCGACTCCGAGCCGTTGTCCGCCTCATCCTCCTCTTCTTCCTCCTCCTTCTCCTCCTCTTCTTCCTCCTCCTCCTCCTCCTCCTCCTCCTCGTCCTCCTCGTCACCTTTCGCCCGCATTTGCGGGCCGAATTTCGCGACATGTTCGTTGCCTGCTGACGCGCCGGGGACATGTAGCTCAAGACCGCCTCTTTTCCCTGCACTCGCGCCGCGGAAATTCTACTCAAGAACGGCTTTTTCTTTGGGCACCACCCATGTGTGTGAAGAAAAACGAAGCTCCGACTCCGAGCCGAAGCGGTCCGCCGCGATACACGTTCCGATCCGATCCGATTTCCCGGGTCGATGCTTCTAGGCCTCCTAGGTGGGGTCGGAGTAGATGGTGTCGGAGGATCGCGGCGCATCGCCGATGCATCGGCGATGCGGCTCGATGTGGAGCTCGATTTTCTCCACGTCGACGTCGCCGATGCAGTGCCGATGCATCGGCGATGCATCGCCGATGTCTCGGCGATGCGGCGCGATCCTTTGACGCCATCTGCTCCGACCTCATCTGGGTGGCCTCTAGTGCTGGCTGTATCCTGCATCCCTCCAGATACCCCTGCGCGCTCGTCGTCGTCTGCCTGCTTCTCTCCTCCTCGTCCCCTGCCGCCGGGCAGCACAGCCTGCCCTGGACCAGCGTGGCGGCGTGCAGGGCTTCCGCCGCCGGCAGACGCACCGCTCCGGCGGGTGGCAATAGGGGGTGGCCCAGCTTGGTGGTTAAGAACAGAGCCCTCAAGGGGGCCCTTTCGGGCTCCTTTGGGAGCCAGGTGGTGGCCACCAGGGGCCCTGAAGGGCCCCTGTAGGGCCTGCTTCTTTGCCACCCGCCCGACCTGCGTCCGCCGGGGGAGCTCAGCACGGATCCAGGAAATCCGTGCGGAGCGCCAAAAGTTTGTGCTCGTGGCGTTTTTGTTCTCCTTCTCCTTCTTCTTCTTCTTCTTCTTCTTCTTCTGCTTCTGCTTCTTCGATTCCGATCCGATCCGATTTCCCGGGTCGATGTTGGCTGCATCCCGCATCCTTCCAGCCTCCCGAAGCCAGCTGGTGCTCACAAGGGGCCCTAAAGGGCCCCTGTAGGGCTTTGTTCTTCACCCCCCGTTTGGGTCACCACCCATTGCCACCCGCCCGACGTGCATCCGCCGGGGGAGCCCAGCGCGGATCCAAGAAATCCGCGCGGAGCGCCAAAAGTTTCTGCTTGTGGCATTTCTTTTTCTTCTTCGATTCCGATTCCGATCCGATCGGATTTCCCGGGTCGATGTTGGCTGCATCCCGCATCCTTCCAGATCCCCCCGGAGCCAGCTGGTGCCCACAAGGGGCCCTAAAGGGCCCCTTTGGGGCCTTTCTCTTCACCCCCCATTTTCGGATGCAACTCCTGGGAGGTCAAATTCCGATGTTGCCCTGGTCCGAAATCCAGCCTAATCCCATTGAATCCCGCTTAATCCCGCTAAATCCCGCTTGATCCGGCTCATTCCCGCTTAATCCAGCTCAATCCGAGGCCCATTCTGGCGTAACAGCCCTCCCATGAGGCTTAATCTTTTTGAATCTTTCCGACGAAAACCTCCCAGTAGTTGCCTCCTAACCCATTTGGGTCCCCCCCCTTTGCCACCCGCCCGACCTGCATCCTTCCAGATCCCGTCCGCGCCACCGAGGGGCGGTGGGTCGCCGGCCGGGAGCTCCTCGCTCGGCGGGGCGATCCCCCGCGCGTGCAGGCCGTCGAAATGCGGCCCTCCTCCTCATCCTCCTCCTCCTCCTCATCCTCCTCCCCCTCCCCCCCCTCCTCCTCCTCCTTCTCCTCCTTTCCTCCTCCTCCTCCTCCTCTTCCTCCTCCTCCTCCCCCTCCTCCTGCTCCTTCTTTCGTCCTCCGCCTGGGATCTCTCTCGTCCCCCCCCCCCCGAAGCAGGGCGCGCTCAGCGGCGACGGCGGCCGCGCCCGGGACGGCGCGGGCGCCGCGCTCCGGAGCAGCGGCGCGCCCCAGGCCTCGAGGGCGGGAGGGCCTCGGGCCCTGCGGGGGGGTAGGGGGAAGGCGGCAGCACCACCGAGGTTCGGTAGCCAATCATGCGGCCCTCCTCCTCCTCCTCCTCCTCCTCCTCCTTTCGCCTCCTCCTCCTTCGCCTCTCCTCCGCCTCCTCTCCTCCTCCAACTCGTCCTCCTCCTCCTCCTCCCCTACCTCCTCCTCCTCCTCCTCCAACTCGTCCTTCTCCTTCTCCTCCTCCTCCTCCTCCTCCTCCTCCTCCTCCTCCTCCTCCTCCTCGGGTCGCCTACGGCCCTGGGGGGGAACCGTGCGCGGCATTTCTTCTCAGCTGGATCGATCTGGGATGGCCCCAGGCCTCGAAGCCAGGCGTACATGTCCAGCGTGAAAAATTGCAACGCTCGCATTTCAAGCAGTGGCGAAGCGTCCTGGCTCGCCGATGGGCCCACCGAAGAATGTTCCAATAACCTTTTGTGGTTTCAACGAAATTTTCTTAAAACATCTCTGGCTGGGACTGTCTTGTTTTAACACATCGGGCTTATGTTCTAGAACATTTTTGGGGTTTAAGAACATTTCGTGGTAGGCCTACGTATAGGAATGCCAGGACGGTCAGTCCCTGCTCAACCCAGTGGTCTGGACCCATTCCCTGGAGCTGGCTCTTTCTCCCGAGTCTTTTTTTTTTGTCTCGGGCGCTCCCGAGGGTCGGCAAGGGCCGTGCCAACACCTCCCTCCGTGATTCCCGAGTGATCGTTTTGTTATTCGTTGTTTTGCCGGTCGGCGCGGGCCCTCGCACCCCCCCTCCCCACCCCCCCATGGAGTGGCTCTTGGCTGTTTTTGGCGCCCGTTTCGAGCAAGCGGAGTCCCTCACCCATAGGACGCACTGCTGCGAGCAGTTGCACTAAGCAGAGGTCTGGAGCCAGACGCCCCCCCTCCTTCCTCCCTTTTCCGCCTAATGCCGGAGCACCGAATAAGAGAAAGCGTTCGCATGATTCCCGAAAGTGTCGAACTTAGGGGTTCTCATGTCGCTTCTCAGGTACAGTCAACCCGCATAGTATGGATGGGCAGCCTTCCCAAGTGTACCCTTGCATCCTTGCCTCCTCGGTCCATCCTTCGCCGCTTTCGCTGGCCGCGCCCCGCTCGAAAAGCCTCGAAATGGGCGTCCAAGGCCCTCGCATCCTTATCGCGCATCCTTACCATACTGGTTGACTGTAGCTGGGCCCCGATGCCGCCCCGGCTGGCTTGTGGCCGCCCGTCGTTGCCCGTCGCGCGGCCGTCGACGTCGCCGCCCGTCGCCGCGCTGCTCCGCACTGCTTTTCTGCATGGCCTCGCACCGTTTTGCACGGCTTCGCACGGCTTCGCATGGCTTGGCATCGCTTGGCGTGGCTTCGCATGCCTCTGCATCGCTCTGCATCGCATCGCCTCGCTTTGCTCTGCGTTTTGCGTTGCGCTGCGTTGCTTTCTGCACCACATAGGTTGCACCACATAGGTTGCACCACCCAGAGTGCACCACATGGATTTTGCACCACCCAGACTGCGCCGCACAGGTTGCAAGACAGCACTGCTTGCCACTTTTCTTTGTCATGCCCCGAGGGGGCCTGGACCTCCTCTGCAGTGGAGGCCCATGCCACGAAACACCCTGCTTGCCTCCAGGGCGCCCAGGGCTTCTTGGGCTTCACGGTTTTGCCATGGAAAGCGTGGCGCTCCCACACCGAAAACCAATGGACGCCCGGGGGTCTCAGGGTGACGTTTCCTGTGGCAGGTTTCTTGTGGCCGGGCTCCCACTCTGCCCACGCAGGCCGAGCCCACCGCGGCCGCGCCGTCGCCGGCGGGCGCACCCTACGGCGGACTGCTGACTGGCGCGGCGGCGGGCGCGGCGATCGTCGTGGGCACGCGGCGGGGCGCGAAGCTGCGCGGGGGCCAGAAGAAGGCGGTGCGTGCGCCCGGCGTGGCCAGGCCCCTCGGGGGATCCTCGAGCCTGGGCCTTCGTCGTCGTCGTCGTCGTCGTCGTCGTCGTCGTCGTCGTCGTCGTCGTCGTCGTCATCGTCGGCGTCCTCGTCGTCGCGGAATTGCCCTCGGTGCGCGCGTCCGGCGTGGCCAGGCCCATCGGGGGATCAAGGCAGCGGGCGGCGCGCTCCGAGGGCAGTTGTTCTCGACGACGACATCGACGACGAGGGACGACGACAAGACGACGACAACGACGACGACGACGAGGACGACGACAACGACGACGACGAGGACGACGACGACGACGAGGACGACGACGACGACGACGAAGACGACGACGACGACGACGACGACGACGACGACGACGACGACGACGACGAGGACGAAGGCCCAGGCTCGAGGGCAGAAGCACCAGCGGCCGTGGCCAAGCGGTGCCGCTGGCTCTCGTCGACGCCGCGCCTCGGAGCCTCGGAGCCGCGTGGCCAGAGCCTCGGAGCCGCGAGGGCCGGCGTTCCAGGCCCACTGCAGCCCTGGAGGGTTTCTTCAAAGGGCTTAGGCGACCCTCCTCCTCCTCCTCCTCCTCCTCCTCCTCCTCCTCCTCCTCCTCCTCCTCCTCCTCCTCCTCCTCCTCCTCCTCCTCCTCGGGTCGCCTACGGCCCTGTGGGAAACCGTGCATGCAGCACCAGACTGCGGTGACTGCCAGCAGTTTTTGCAGAGGGAGCAAAAAGCACATACATCGTCGTGTTTTGATCCTGAGTCATTCCACCACAGAGGGCCAGCGCCCCCTCGTCGCCCCGGCGGGCAGCTCGAAGAGGCGGTGCGCTTGGGCCCCTGCAGGGCTCTTGTCGACGCCGGCCCCGAGAGCCCAGGACCTCGATCCTCGAGGTTCGAACCTCGAGCCTCGAGGGTCGAGGCTCCAGGCTTTTTACCCCTCGGGGTGCCTCCTCGTCGCCACGGCTGGACGCAGCTCGAACAAACTGGTGCGCGTTTGGGCCCCAGCAGGGGTCTGGGGGCCCATCTCGAGGGGATGTTGAAAACCTCCTCGCATCGTCATGGCCAGGCGATGTCGCTGGCTCCTGGCGATTCGAAGTCCAAGCTTCGAGTTCCGAGGCTTGCGCATCCTTGCGGCTGCGCCTCTACAGGTGCATCCTTGCGGCTGCGCCTCTACAGGTGCAGTCCAGGGGGGGCCCGGAGCGCCCCGAACGGCCCCCGGAGGCCCGAGCTGCGGCCGCCCGACAGGGCTTCGTGCCAGTTTCGGCCTCCGGGACGGGGCCGTCGAACAACGACCCGGGATGAGAAGCGGGCCCCTGGAAGTGGGCCGAGACTTCTGGGGGTCGACGTCGTGGAAAAATCAGAGCAGCGGCATCGGTGTGCTTTCCCGTCTGCCCGAGGCTCGTCGCGCCCGCGGCGCCGCCGGCGCAGGACGACGTGCCGGAGAAGCTGGAGGAGTTCGTGCGCAGCCACGGGGGCGAGAAGCCGTTGCGCCGGATCCTCATCGCGAACAACGGCATGGCCGCGACGAAGGCCATCCTCTCGATGAAGCAGTGGGCGTACCTGGAGCTGGGGCTGGAGAGGTGCTTCGAGTTCGTGGTGATGGCGACCCGCGAGGACCTCGACGCCAACGCCGAGTTCATCCGCCTCGCCGACACGTACGTGGAGGTCCCGGGGGGTAAGAACTCCAACAACTACGCGAACGTCGACCTCATTTGCAAGCTCGCGAAGGAGCAGGCCGTGGACGCGGTGTGGCCGGGCTGGGGGCACGCCAGCGAGAACCCGAAGCTGCCGATGCAGCTGAGCGCTCAAGGCCGGCGGGCGCGCGGGAGGGGCTTGGGTGGTTGGGGGCGCGACTGGGGCGGCCTTCTATCGAATGCTGCCGAATAAAAAGTGAGTAAAACATCAAAACTATAGTGGGCAAGTCAAAAAGAAAGCTGCCTGCCAGCAGGCGCCCCACGGAAGTCTCTTACTCCCTGGTGTCCGTGGGTGCCCACAGAAACTCTGGGGCACCTTGGGGCCCTCAAAGTGTGACGAAGAATCTGCCCCAAAATTCCTGATAGCACTATTTGTTCTCGTATGTGTCTACTACAAGAGGCGGAATTCGAGTAGGGGATCGGCTACGGAATTGATTTGCCCCAAACTTGATCTTTCCCGCCGAATCCACAAAGGAATGCGTATCATGTCCCGTAGATCTACGAACGGTATATGTGTGTCCTAGGCTATTCTCAGCAGGACAGCAAACTTCGGAGGAAATTCATTCTGTGGTCGATCCTCGAGGTGTGCGCATCAACTTTCGGATGTCCGCCCGCATTTATCGGATCGGCGCTGGACCCCCTTGGCGGCGCCTCCGGCGCCGCCCGTTGCGCGCTCCGCGCGCCAGACAGGGGGCCCAGCGCCGGTCCAGGAGCTCCGCGCGAACCTCCGAACGTTGGGTGCTTACATGCGGCTTGTTCCTCCTCCCCCTCCTCCTGATCCCCCTCCTCCTCTTCCTCCGCCTCCTCCGCCTCCTCCGCCTCCTCCTCCTCCTCCTCCTTCTCCTCTCCTCCTCCTCCTCCTCCTCCTCCTCCTCCTCCTCCTCCTCCTCCTCCTCCCCCTCCTTCTCCTCCCCCCCTCCGCACCCTCCCCCTCCTCCTCCTCCTCCTCCTCCCTCCTCCTCCTCCTCCTCCTCCTCCTCCTCCTCCTCCTGTTCCCCCTCCCCCTCCCCCTCCTGCTCCTCCTTCTCCTTCTCCTTCTCCTCCTCCTCCTGTTCCCCCTCCTCCCCCTCCCCCCTCCCCCTCCCCCTCCTCCTCTCCTCCTCTCCTCCTCCTCCTCCTCCTCCTCCTCCTCCTCCTCCTCCTCCTCCTCCTCCTCCTCCTCCTCCCCCTCCTCCTCCTGCTCGTAGAGTGCCTGCTCGCACACGTCCGAAGAGCAGTGCTCGTCTCAGGGTGATGGCTCGCGAAGCCCCCGCGGCGGATCTGGGCCATTTGCGAGCAGTCACTCTGCGAGTCGTGGAGCGCGCCTGTCTCTAGAAGCCCCCCCCCCCACCCCCTCCCAGCGGAGGAGGAGGAGGAGGGAGGAGGAGGAGGAGGGAGGAGGAGGAGGAGGAGGAGGAGGAGAGGAGGAGTGGAGGAGGAGGAGGGAGGAGGAAGAGGAGGAGGAGAAGGGGGAGGGGGAGGAGGAGGAGGAGATGGAGGGGGAGGAGGAGGAGGGAGGAGGAGGAGGGAGGAGGAGGAGGAGGAGGAGAAGGAGGAGGCGACGGGGCTCTCCGCAGAAGCCCACTCCGCCCTCCGAGAGGCCCGCTGCCCTCCGGGCAGGGCCGCCCCTCAGGGGCGCGAGGGGCGGCCCTCCACGACGACGACGAACGACGACGACGACGACGACGACGACGACGACGACGACGACGACGACGACGACGACGACGACGACGACGACGACACCGACGACCGACGACCGACAACGACCGACATCGTCGACGACGAACGACGGCGACGAACTACGAACGACGAACGACGACGAGGACGAACGAACGACGAACGACGAACGACGAACGACGACAACGACGTCGGCGACGAACGACGACATCGTCGTCGTCATCGCCATCGTCATCGTCATCGTCATCGTCATCGTAATCGTCGTCATCATCATCATCATCATCATCATCATCATCATCATCATCATCGTCATCATCATCATCATCGTCATCGTCATCGTCATCGTCATCGTCGTCATCATCAGCATCATCAGCGGCAACATCGTCATTGTCAACATCATCACCATCAATATCAGCGTCATCGGCATCGTCATTGCCACCATCATCATCATCATCATCATCATCATCATCATCATCATCATCATCATCATCATCACCATCACCATCACCATCATCACCATCATCATCAGCAGCATCATCATCATCAGCATCATCATCTGCATCATCATCATCAGCATCATCAGCATCATCATCAACATCGTCATCTTCATCTCCGTCGTCATCATTCAGCGAGCCGCCAAGCAGGCGTCACGTTCATTGGCCCCACGGCACCGGTGATGTCGGTGCTGGGCGACAAGATCGCCGCCAACATCCTGGCGCAGACGGCGGGCGTGCCGTCCATCCCGTGGAGCGGCGACGGGCTCGAGGCGAACCTGACGGAGGAGGGCACCATCCCCGAGGAGATCTTCCGGAAGGGCCTCATCAACACCCTGGACGAGGCTTCGGAGACCAAATCAGGGCCAACGAGGTTCGAGGTTTTCGGGCCTCCTCGTAGGTTCTCGGCGGTCTTCCAGCCTCGGGATGCTCTCCAGCAGCTGCGCCTCGCCGAGAGCGTCTCAGGGGTGCCCGAAGCGTCCCGAACGGCCGCTGGAGAGCCGAGTTATGACCCGAGAACCAGGAGGCAACGTCAGTGGGGGTGGATAGGCTCAGGGGGGGGGGGCGCATCGACCACCAATCGCTCAGCCATCGCCCATAGGGGCCCGGAAGCCCACCCCACCCGAGAAAGTTCGGTTTCGCTATCGGGGGGCCATCGCCGACCTGTCGGCGAGGCATCGCCGGTTCCAGGTCGATGTTCCCCCCCGGGCGAGCCCCCCCACTTACCGTTGACCAGAAGACGGCGTTCTGGGTCACCCGCGGGGGCGCGCAGATGACCGCGCGTCGCGCCTCGCGGCTTGGGTCGGAAGGGCGCCCTTCCTCCGGGCGGGGGCGCGAGTCCGCCACAAAACAGTGAATGCACAGACACCCTCCATTGGATTGTTCCTGGGCCTCGGGGGAGGGTGGCGGTGTATATATCACCACTGGGAGCCAGCGACTTTGTACACCGGCCCCTCCCTGAAGGCACATGTCAAATTCGTCGGAGGGCGTCCGTGTATTTATGTATTTTCGCGGTGTAGCGTTAAGTCGGGCCTGTCCCTCTACAGGAGGAATATTCAAAAACAGTAAAGAAATAGTCAGGGGACCATTTTGTGACTACTTTTGCTTATTTTTTGAATATTTATGGGGTGTTTTTTAAATTTGTCCTCAAACATCACCCTGTAGGGGGACAGGCCCGACCTAAGCGTAGCGAGGGCTCGAAGGTAACCGCGCATCGCGGGGCGCCGCGCCCGAAGAAGTCAGGCGACCTCGACGCCTCGGCTGTCGGAGGCCTCCGCGCGGCTTCACCGGGCCGGCGCCGCCCCCGGCGCGCTCCCCGTGCCAGGGGAGGGGATGTCCAGCGCCGGCGCCCGCGCAGCAGACCGGCAACGTCCTCCTTCTTCTCCTCTTCCGCCTCCTGCTCAGTCCACCTTCTCCTCCTCCTTCTCCTCCTCCTCCTCCTCCTCTTCCTCCTCCTTTTTCACAGTACCATCAACTAACCAGCAGCTCCAGACGAGTGTGCAACTGTGCGCCGACCCAGCAGATCCGCGCGGAACTCTGACAGCTCATGTCCACTCTTCCTCTTCCTCCTCCAAGGCCGTCGAGTGCGCGAACCGCATCGGCTACCCGATGATGCTCAAGGCCAGCGAGGGCGGGGGCGGGAAGGGCATCCGCATGTGCGCGAACCAGGCCGAGCTGGAGGCGAACTACCCCCAGGTGCTCCTGCTCGTCCACTTTCTCTCGGCCACCCCTGCTGCAGTCAACCCGCACAGTAAGCATGGGCATCCTGCCCAAGGGCACCCCTGCATCCTTGTCTCCTCGGTCCGTCCTTGGCCACCTTCGTTGGCTGCGCCCCCCTCGGAAAGCTTTGACACGGGTTTCCGGGGCCCTCGCATCCTTATCGCGTGTCCTCACTATCGCTGGTGTTCGCGCCTGTGCTGCACCGTCCTCGTGTGTTGCTGTGCTTGTGCTTGCTGCGGCCTGGCACGCTACCGGAGCAGCCGGGACCTCCCCCTCTTGCCTCCATGGGCCGCCTCGCCTCGCCGCGCCTCGCCTTCTCACTGAAGAAGAAGAGACAGAAGAAGGAATAATAAGAAGGAAGATAGAAGTAATAAGAATGACAAAAACAGTAAGAAGAAGGAGGAGGAGAATAAGAATAATAATAAGAAGAAGGAGAAGAAGAAAAAACGGCAGAGGCACGAATTTTCGGAAGTCCGCACGGGCTTTTTGAAGTCTTGGCGGCGCCTCGGGCGCCGCCCCTGGCGCGCCCTGCGCGCCCGGGAAAGGGTCGAGCGCCGATCCAGGAAGGCACGGACCTTCAAAAGCCTGAGCTTATGCAGTAGTTTCCTCCTCTATCCTGAGGCCGCCAAGCGGGCGGAGGAATGTGTGGAAGATGTCTCAGGCCAGGTCGGCGGGGACGCCCGCAGTTGTCCTCTTAGTTGTGCTCTTCTCTCACCTCTCCGTGCGTGACCCTCAAGGCGCACGCGTCTCTGTGGAGTGTCCTGCGGCTAAGTGCCTTGTGCAGGCGCCATTCCACAGGGGGTGGGTATATGCTGACTGGCTGTCTTGCTCGCTCATGACTCTCACAGGATGTGCCCGGGAGGCTGCAGACTGGAGGATTCCTTATTTGATGGGGCATCAAGACCGTCGTCGACGTGCAAGTGGAGTACACGCGTGGCTGCTTCAGCGCCTGCCGCATCACCGACGACGAGCAAGATTTGGGACCTGGGCTTTCAATCACGGAGCTGAAGGACTCGGAGCTGGAGCGCGTCACCGCAAGTATGCGCTGCTGCTTGTTTGCTGTTTTGAATCAGAACAGCAAAATAGCAGCATTTTATTTCGACGCGCCGAATCGGCCAAGGCCATCGCGCGCGCGGCGCCCCGCCCCCTCTCGCGTTGGTTCTCTCCCCCGCGCGGCCTCGGCCAGTGCCGCAGCGCGCGCGGCGGCCCGCCAGGTCCCTTATCCATTGCGCATGCGGCCCAGGGCCATTGCGGCGGCCAGCGAGCCCGCTTCCCGAGCGCGGGGCAAGGGGCCCGGGGCCGCCGCTCGCACCCCGCCCCTCCCGCGCCCCGTCTCTGGGCGCTGGCGCGTGCATTCTCGTTTCCTTACAGCATATCAGTTTTGCTCTCCAGGGCCTCTCATCGCGTTGCTATGTGTTCTCTCTGGGCCCTTTTACAGGATCTGCATATTTCCCATTGGCTCTCCCACAGAACCCTTGCCTGCTCTCCTTCGCCAAACGAATGTTCATTATTTCGATTTCGTGGACCCCGCCCCGGATCTGTATATTTCCTGCGTGGTCGTGGCGCAGAATCCCCATCCTATCTATCAGTGCCCACTGCAAAACTTCTTATTGCCTCGCCGAGGAGGCCAGCGCACTGCGACGCGGGAAGCGCCGTCGGAGCAGCTCCTGGCGTCGCGGCAAATTTTTTGCCGATGCAAGCGCGCCGCGCGATTTGCTTTGAAATCTGCTTTCATATTGCCTCGCGCGGACAGCAGTGCCCCTTTGCTCGCGGGAAAGATGCAGACCCCCCTGGGACTTACAAGTTTTGATCCTGTTCCGCCTGCTAGACTTTTCAATTCCGATCGCGACGTTGTCTGGACCTTGCTGTGGGATCTGGTCATGCTGATGCCTTCTTCAGGCAGAATGACCTTCCAATGGCGCGCCGTGCCCCGTCGCATTTCCTTTGTCTATTGCTTTTCGTGACACGGTTGCGAATTGCTGTCGGGAGGAAGTCTTTTGCCTGCGTTGAGGCCCACCGAGTGTGTACGACGCGTAACGCGCGACCTGTCCCTCGAGGTGTCGCGCCTATCAAGGGGACGCTTGAGGGGGATGTCCGCGTCGCCCTCATCGCGACCGGCCGGCTGGGGATACCACAGTCTTCTGTTTGACATTGGCAGAGACGGAGCAGCTTCTAGAACAGGTGATGGTCTGCCGTTCCGATGTCTCGATCGAGAAAGACCTGATGGGGGCGCCGGTGATATCCACGGCCAAGCCCCAATTGGTGTTCCAGCGGCTGCCAGACCGTGGGTTCCTTTCCCAAGGACTCATTATCTGATGCCCTCGCCGTGATGTGCGCGAGGTTGCTCGAGACAAGACACAGCATGTTGTGTCTTGTCTCTTGTTGTTGCATGTGTTGAGATGGTATAAGAGAGTTTTGCTCGAACCTGGCCTTGTCCGACAAACTGGGCCCATGTGGCCCGCTGAGGTTAAAAAACAATGTGCGCGAGGCTGCTCGGGGCGCCTGGCCCGTCCACGCCGCCGCAACCACGGCGCGGCGGGATGCCATTCGAAGGCTGCCGAGGCCGAGGCGACGGCGGGGGGCGTCCAGCCGACGTCGTTCAGGAGAGAGAAGAAGAGGAGGAAGAGGAGGAGGAGGAGGAGGAGGAGGACCCTTTGAAGGGGACCGGGGGAGGATGAGGAGGAGGAGAGGAAGGAGGAGGAGGGAGGAGGAGGAGGAGGAGAGGAGGAGGAGGAGGAGGGAGGAGGAGGAGGAGGAGGAGGAGGGAGGAGGAGGGAGGAGGGAGGAGGAGGAGGGAGGGAGGAGGAGGAGGAGGAGGAGGAGGAGGAGGAGGAGGAGGAGGAGGAGGAGGAGGAGGAGGAGGAGGAGGAGGAGGACGCGGCCCGGGCGGCGGAAGTGGCACTTGTGCGCAACAGTTGGGGCCGCCACGCGCAGACGCCCTGCCATCCCCCCCAATTGGGTGGGCGCTCCCTCCTCTTGCGACGTGCCGTTGAGGCGACCGGGATCGCCTCGGGATCCCCTCCTCCTCCTCCTCCTCCTCCTCCTCCTCCTCCTCCTCCTCCTCCTCCTCCTCTTCCTTCTCCTCCTCCTCCTCCTCCTCCTCCTCCTCCTCCTCCTCTCAGCTGTGTTGCGCGAGCCGCTCGGCTCCTTTGACTCGGCTCCACTGTGCAGTTGTTGTGGAGCTCGTTGTCACCCCCCAGAGGACTCGCCCACCTCTGGGGGTGCACGTGGGTTGCATTCGCGTGGATGTTATAATCCTCCTCCTCCTCCTCGGGATCGCCTCGGAATCGCCACCGGGATCGCCTCGGGCGACGGGTCGCCCCGTGTCTTCCCAGACATGCGACGTCTTGGCATGTCTGCAGTGCGGGCCCCCGGAAAGTCCTGGCCCTTCCCTCAGGGATGGCTTTTGATCCCGTGCCGTTTGCTGACGGTCCGGGGGCCTGGCGGGTTCTCCTGGAGGCAGGAGCCGGCCATAGCACGCCCATCGTGATCGTTTCACGATGCGAGCATGTCTGGGTTAGCGTCTGACGTCTGCCAAGGGCATAGTTAAGAGCGAAATCGCAGACTTAACGGTCAAATGGAATTTTCGACGTGTTTGTTTTTAACGCGTGGTTGTCTACGCGGTGGTTAGCTCGTGATGTTTTCGACGTGGGATTACACGTGGTGCTATCTACGTGTTTTCGTTGTTATACGTAATGGCTTATACGTTGTATTATCGTATTGTTTTTGTTTACGGGTTTGTTTTGTGATATTCTTGACCTTTTCTTCGTGATGCGTTATTCATAGTGTTGTCTGCGTGTTTGATTCGTGATGTTTGTAGTGATGTGTTACTTGTGACGTTTCTACGTGGTGTTTCTACGTTGTGTTTGTTTCACGGTTGTTCTACGTGGTGTTCGCTTCGTTGTGCTTACCCCGTGATGTTTTCTGCGTAGTGTTTGCTTCGTGGTGTTCTCTTCCTGGTTTTTTGTTACGTGGTGTCGTTTTCAGGCGTTGTTGTTGAACTCTCATCTCTAAAGAATAAGTACTGTTGATCCCCCTTCCGGTAACCATTTATTTTTCAATTGAAGTCATCCCCTATGGGGTCGCAACCTGTTTTCATGGTGGGGCCAGACTTCCTCGCAAGTGATGCAGGACATCGCGCTCTCGCGTGGGACTTCCTCGCAATGTATTCAGACGCCGCGCCCTCGACACTCAGGAATCACGCTCTCGCTTTGGCCTTTCTCGCGACTTAATTGTGCATCACGCTATCGCTCCAGAATTCCTCGCGATTCATGCAAGACTCACGCTTCAGCAATCCGCCTGCTCGACCTGGCCGCTTGGGCCCGCCTTCCCGAGCCGCCCGTTAGGTTCTACCCGCCCGATGGGCCCATTTGGTTCTGCCACGTGTTTTCTGCTCCTAGCCCTCCTGCTAATCCCGTGCTCCATCCTTCTCCCTTCCCCCTTCTATCCGTCCTCCCGTCCCCTATTCCAGGAGCTACACCAATTACACGCGGCAGGTAAGGAAGATATATTCCCAGGGGGGTGCGATCGAAGACGAAGAGGGCGGGTACCGAGGGTTTGGGATATAAGAATGGATTGGCAAGTGAGCAGGTAAGAGCGAACAGTCTTGAAATAATTGTTGTTGAACTCTCATCCTGAAGATGAAGTATTGTTGACCCACCGGTGCACATGTTTTGTTTCCTTTTCAATTGGAGTTCGCACACTTTTTTATCAGAGAAAGCATTCTTGCTCAAACTCGGTTGTTGGCCCCCCCGGCTACAACAACAACGGCTTCCGCCTGATACTTCCTCACGTAGAAAACACCACGTAGAAAACGCCACGAAGAAAACATCATTCAGAAAACATCAAGAACCAAACACAACGAAGCACACATAACGAAGCAAACGTCACCAAGCAAGCATTGCGTAACAAATTCAGCGTAGAACACCACGAAACAACGCCACGTAGAACACCCCACGTAGAAAGCATCACGAAGCAGCACACCACGTCGAAAACATGACGAAGCACCACGTGTATCACACCACGTCGAAAGCATCACGTAGAAAATACAGCGTAACCACCCTTAAACCACAACGCAAAAAACAGCACGAAAACACACACACACACACACGCACACACACACACACACACCGCGTAGACAACATCACGAAACAAACACGTACAAAACATCACGAAACGAACGCCATGAGCACCGAAGACAGCACTGCGTACAAAAAGCACTGCGTAGAAACACAGCGTAAGAAAACGCATTGCGTAGGCAACGCCGCATGAAACAAACTGCATAGAAAATACAGCGCACACAGAAAAAACACTGCTTAGAAAGCACTGCGTGGGAAACGCTGCGTCGATAACGCTGCATAGAGAACAGGGCGTAGAAAACACTGCGTAGAATACATACAGAAGAAGCCACCGTGTAGAAAATACCTCGTAGAAATCACATCGTTCAAATCAGCAACGTGTCAAGCACATTGCACAGAAAGCACCACGCAGATCACACTGCGTAGACAACGGCGCAGAAAGCACTGCGTAGAACCCATACGCACACAGAAGAAACCACAGCGTAAAAACACGGCGTAGAAAACACCGCGTCAAGAACACGGCGAAGAAACACAGCGTAATAAAACACAGCGTAAGCAAAAGGCACCGGGTCGAAAACACCGCGTGGAAAACAGTCGAAACACACACACATGAGACACCACAGCGTAACATAAACATTGCGCAGAAAGCATCCCGTAGAAGCACTGCGTAAAAAGCACAGCGTAACAAGTATACCGCGTAACACACGCTGCGTATAAAACACCGCGTAGAAACATTGCATAGTAACCCCCTTCTGTCTTCCTTCGTTGCTGGAAACTTCCAAGCCTCAGGTGCTTGCCGAAGTGCCCGGCTCGCCAGTTTTCGCGATGCAGCTGTGCCAGGGCGCCCGCCACATTGAGGTTCAGATCGTGGGCGACATGCACGGCAACGCCGTGGCCCTCAACGGGCGCGATTGCTCGACGCAGCGGCGCTTCCAGAAGATCTTCGAGGAGGCCCCCCCCGCCATCGTGCCGAAGGCCTGGGGGAGAGAACCATCATTACCGATACCGACACACCTCCCTCCTTCTCGTCCTTTTGGGCCCCCCCCCTGGAGGGGGCCTTCGTCGCCACGGCCGGATCCGCCTCGACACCTTGGTCGAGTTGCGCCCCGGGAATGGTCCATGGCGGTATCCATACCTCCCTGCTCTCCCGAAGGCGACCTTCCGGGAGATGGAGAAGTCCGCCCAGCGGCTGACGCAGAGCATCGGCTACATCGGCGCGGGCACGGTGGAGTTCCTGTACAACGCGGAGACCGACGATTTCTTCTTCCTGGAGCTGAATCCGCGCCTCCAGGTCGCGGGCGAGATCTATATCCATATCTTCTGACTCTCGGATTTTCGGGCTCCCGTCCGTGGAATCCAGAGACACAGTGGATATGAATAAAAGCTTGGCCTCTCTCTCTTTCTATGTATATATATGTAGAGAGAAAGAAAGAGAGAAAGAGAGAGAGAGAGAGACAGAGAGGCCCGGTTATGTCAGTGTATATATATATATAGAGAGAGAGAGAGAGAGAGAGAGAAAGAGAGAGAGAGAGAGAGAAAGATCCATTGCGCCTCAGGTCTTTGGCGTCCCTTCCTCCAAAAATCGAAGACGCCGTGGATATGGACATGCATCCTGCCCGCACAGGTGGAGCACCCGTGCACCGAGGAGGTAACGGGCGTCAACTTGCCCGCGACGCAGCTCCAGGTGCTCATGGGTATCCCCCTGCACCGCATCCCGCAGATCCGCGCCTTCTACGGCAATCGAAGCAGAAGCAACTACGTGAAACAAACTTTCGGAGCTCGGCACGGATCTCTTGGATCGGCGCTGTGACTCCCCTTGGCGGCGCCTCTGGCGCCGCTCTCGGTGCGCTTCGCTCGCCAGTGATGGGGGGGTCCAGCGCCGATCCGAAAAATCCGCGCGGACCTCCGAAAGGTTATGCTGATGTCGTTGTTCCATTCCTCTAGGCAAGTCTGAGGAGGACGCCACGTCTCCGATCGACTTCATGGAGGACGACTACGTGTACCCCAAGACGCACGTGATCGCCGCGCGCATCACCGCTGAGAACCCAGACGATGGGTTCAAGCCCACCAGCGGCAGGATCGAGCGCATCAAGTTCCAGAGCTCGGTGAACTGCTGGGGCTACTTCAGCGTCGGCTCCAACGGCGCCATCCACGAGTTTGCCGACTCGCAGTTTGGCCACATCTTCGCGCGCGGCAAGGACCGCGAGCAGGCCCGCAAGAACCTCACCCTCGCCCTGAAGCAGCTGGAGGTTGTTGGCGAGATTCGCTTCCCTGGCGAGTATCTGGTGGAACTGGCCAACACAGATGCGTTCAAGGAAAACACTATTACCACGTCGTGGCTAGACGGTCTCATCAAGCAGAAGAGCGTGAAAATCAACTACAACAATCTCGACGTGGTCTTCTACGCGGCCGTGTACCGCGCAATGAACACACTTAAGGAGAGCGAGAGTGCCCTGCTAGCGGATCTGCAGAAGAGCCAGCTGGGGCTGCTGCGTCAGGTTGGCAGCATGAACAGCTTTCCCATCGAGATCACTTTTGAAGGGTACAAGTACGAGTTCAACTTCTGCCGCGCCGGCCCAGACCAACTGGTCGCGACGATCGGCGACACGAAGATCGCATGCCGCGTCCGAACGCAGGCGGACGAGTCAATCTTCGTCACGGTCGCAGAGGAAAGAAACGACCACATGTACCATGAGCTTTCGGTTGTCCTCGTGGAATTCCTGTGGCATTTGCTAGACCTCCCTCCCCACACCCCTTACCTGGCGCGCGGAGCGCGCCAGGACGGCGCCGGAAGCGCCGCCAGGGGGTGTTGGAGGGGGACTAGCTCCGACCCGAGAAGTCTGCGTGGGCCTCCAGAAGTTCCATACTCGCGCGCCGATCATGAAGACACCTCTCCTCACTCCCCTGGAGCAGCGCTTCTTCGTCCGCACTCCTGGATCCGGGGCAACCTTAGAAGGGGATAGGCTCAGGGGGGACTGCAGGAACCCCCGATCGCCAACTGATTGCCGATAGTGGCCCAGTAGCTCTTTCCCGCCTGCGATCGTGCAGTTTCGCTGTCGGGGGCCCATCGCCGATCTAGCAGCGATGCATCGCCGATTCCATATCGGTGCTTCCCCCCTGAGCCGGTCCCCTCCTAACGTTGGGGGCTGGCCCAGCTCCCAAAGACCCCGTGCGCATCAACGAAGTTGCCCGTGCGAGGCTGACCCAGCGTTTGCTCAAGATTCTGCCGAACGGCTGGGCCCAAGGAAAATCAATGAGTGTTGCTTTCTCGATGAGGCCGTCTTGGAAGCTCTGACCGCTCGCGACCCCCCCTCCAAACCCAGGGGGAGGGGGTGCGGGGAAGGGTCAAGCTACCCCAAGCCCCAAGTCGTGTCGCTCACTCCCACCCGCCCTCCCACTACGTACACAAGTAGCACCGGAGCTTGAGCACAGGCAGGGGCTGCCATCGATAACCAGCTGGAACCAGTGCAGACGCCAGCCAGGTGCGCGATGCCCGCGAGGTGCGTCGCACGCGCCACGCACGCGCCACACGCACCGGGTGCACCACATTGGGAAACATGTCGACCGCCCCACCATCCCTGTCAAAAGCCACGCAAAGTGACGGCGGGTTTGCTATCACTGTGTTCAGCCACGCGCAGAAGGGGGGTGGGGGGAGGGGGAAGGGCTTCTTAGAAGCGCCCCTGCTTCTTAGAGGGCGCGGGCCTTATCTAGAGATGTAAGGCCAGCGCCTTCTAAGAAACAGCCTCCTTCCAAGAAGCCCTCCCCCCTCCCTCCACCCCCTTGTGCGCTCCGCCAATATTGTGTGTGGGTGTGTGCCCGCAATCACCTTGCACCTGCTTTTGACAGGGGCAGTAGGCCTGCGCGCAGCAGGCATCATGCTGCCTCCCCGCCGTCCCTGGCAAGGTGAGCTTTGCATTTGTGGTTTTGAAAGGGATGGTGGGCCTGCGTCCAGCAGGCAATGTGCCGACCCCCCCGCCGTCCCTGTCGAAATCCCGGGAGAGGTGGTCGCGGGGCCGCCGCGCATGACCCAGATTTGTGGTGCAATGTGCATCTTGTGTCTCGTTTTTTTTGGAAGGGATGGTTGGGGAGGGGCTGGCATTGCACACGCAAGGCAATATGCTGGCCTCCCCGCCGTCCCTGTCGAAATCCCATGCAAGGTGGGCGCGGGGCCGCCGCGCATGACCCAGACGGTGGTGCAAGGTGCACTTTGCAGTGTTTTTGTGTTGCACGGGCAGGCTAGGGGGTGTTGGCATTGCACATAGCAGGCACTATGCTGTCCCCCCCGCCGTCCCTGTCAATTTACTCGACGCGGAGATCCCCACATGTGTGCACCTCGTACTCCTGCCACGTCTCGCTGAGGGACTCTGTGTGTGAGTATCTGAGTGTGGCAGCGGGTCCGCGTAGACGACGGGCGCGACAATGACGACGACGACAGCGACGACTTCAGTCGCGTCAGCCTCCTTTGGGCATCCTTGAAGGGAGATGAAGGAAGCGCTAGAGGAAGAGCCAGGGAGCATTGGACCACCAGAAGAGAAACGACTGCGAGTGAATCTCAGTGTGAGTGATCTGAGTGTGAGTGGGTCCGTGTATGATTGAGTTTGAGTGTGATTGTTTCTAGGTGTGAGAAAGTCTGAGTACGAGTGGGTCTGAGTATGAGTAAGCCTGAGTGTGAGTGAGTCTGAGTGCGAGTGAGTCTGAGTGTGAGGAAGTCTGTGTGTTATTAAGCTTGAGTTTGATGAGTAGGAGTCCGAGCATGAGTCAGTAGGGGTACGAATGTTTATTAAGCTTGAACATGAGTCCGAGCATGAGCATTAGTCTGAGTATGCGTGAATCCGAGGGTGGATTCGTCTGAATGTGACTGTGTCTGAATGTAAGTAAACCTGAGTGTGAGTGAGCCTGAATACACACATGATGAGTATGAGTCTGAGTGTGAATATGAGTAGTTTGGGTATGAGTGAATTTGGATATGAGTGGGCCGAAACAGGCAAACCGCCGGATGTATCCCCAGAGTCTGGGCGCAAACGGGCCCGTGAATACCCCCTAGCGGCGCCCCAGTGGAGTGCTGAAACCAGCGCCTGGCCTGTGGCATCCTCACAATCTGCTCCGACAGCAGAGGAGTCGGGGGCGCCGAAACTGGCAAACTGCCAGAGATTCCCCACAACCTGGGCGCGAACAGGCCCGTGAAATCCGCCCTGGCGCCCCCCCTTGGGATGGTGAAGACACCGCCTCGCCTGAGACATCACAATCTGCTCTGAAAGCAGCGGATGCTGGGCATGTAATGAAGCGAGTCGCTTGAGAGATCCCCACGAGAACGAACGCACCCGGCGCGAACGGGCACGTGCAATAACCCCCCGGCGGCTCCCCCATGGGGAGTGTTGAAGCCAGCGCCTCGCCCGAGGCATGTGCTCACAGTCTGGTCCGACAGCGTAGGATGCTGGGCATGCAAGCGGGCAAACCGCTCGAGACATCCTTGCGACCTGGGCGCGAACAGGCTCGTGAAATACCCTTCTAGCGCCTTCCACCCCCGCCAGGAGGAGGAGGAGGAGGAGGAGGAGGAGGAGGAGGAGGAGGAGGAAGAGGAGGAGGAGGAGGAGGAGGAAGAGGAGTCGCCTGAGACATCCTCAGCTACGAAAGCAAATGGTTCCGGGCATGCCAACAGGCAAACCGCTCGAGACATCCCCACCGTCTGGACGCGCGCGGGCCCGTGAAACCAGCGCCTCGCTTGAGCGATCCTGCTCCGAGAGCAAATCATCTTGGGCCTGCAGACAGGCGAACCGCCTGAGGCACCCACACTGGGCGCGAGCGGGCTCGTGCAGTGCCCCCTGGCGGCTCTCTCCTGGGAGTGCTGAAACCAGCGTCTCGCCCGAGACTTCTTTACAGCTAGTGTGTGTGTGTGTGAGAGAGAGAGAGAGTGCGATTCTGTGCACGAGTGAGTCTGGGTGAGGGCGTGATGTGGCTGATCCTGAGTGAGGAAGAGTGAGTCTGAGTGTATATGAATAGGGGATCTCAGCACGAAAATTTGAAGGAGTCTGAGTGAGAGAGTATGTGTGTATGGGTGGGAGTGAGTCTGAGTATGTGTATGAGTGGTCTGGGTATGAGTGTCCGAGTAAACTGATTGAGGAAGAGGAAGGGGAGGAGAAGGTGGAGCAAGGTCTCGAAGCATCCACGCAATTACAATAATCCCATCTTAGGGTACCAGTATGGGGAAAACCATGGCAAAGTGATCGCGGGTTGTCCGCGTATGATCCAGCCTTTGGTGCAAAGTGCATTTTGTATTGTTCCCAGCCCTCCTGTGTATTGGTCCCTCGTTTAGAAAACGCAGCATTGCCCGTCGCCTCTCCTCTTCTCTTTTTCCTCCTCACTCCTCCATCCACTTCCTCATCCAGCTCCCTCCGCCCATCACCATCATTATCATCATCATCATCATCATCATCATCATCATCATCATCATCATCATCATCATCATCATCATCATCATTATCACCATCATCATAGTCATCAGCATCATCATCACTATCATCATCCTGATCCTCCTCCTCCTCCTCCTCCTCCTCCCCCTTTACCATCATCATCACCAGCATCATCATCATCACCACCATCATCATCAGCATCATCTTCAGCATCATCATCATATCCCCGATCATCGTCGTCATCATCATCAGCGTCCTCGTCCTGATCGTCATCATCATGATCGTCGTCAGCAGCAACGGCAGCATCAGTGGTATCATCCTCCTCCTCCTCCTCCTCCTCATCATCATCATCATCATCATCGTAATCACTCTCATCAACCTCATCCTCATCATCATCGTCGTCATCATCATCACCATCAGCGTCATCATCGTCATCTCGTCATGGTCATCGCCATCGCCATCGTCATCGTCGCCGTCACCGTCACCGTCACTGCCAGCGTCACGGTCACCACCATCATCACTACCATCATCACCAGCATCACCACCACCACAATCACCATCATCATCATCATCATCATCAGCATCATCATCATCATAATCATCATCATCATTATCATCATCACCACCACTACCATCATCATCACCATCATCATCATCATCATCATCATCATCATCATTATAATCATCAACATCATCAGCATCAACATCAGCATCCGCATCATCATCTTCAACAGCATCATTATCATCATCATCACCATCATCATCGTCATCATCATCATCGTCATCACCATCAGCATCATCACCATCATCATCATCAGCATCATCAGCACCATCAGCATCAGCATCATCATCATCATCATCATCATCATCATCATCATCATCATCATCATCGGCGCATGCCTCAGATGTCACGTGGCCCCATTGGAAGCTCCACCGAACGCCCCAGTGGCTGCGGGCACACACGCCCCGTTCAATTTCGGCGCATCCCTCACACGTTTCGTGGCCCCATAGGATGCTCCACCGAACGCCCCAGTGGGTGCGGTCGCATGCGACCCCGCCCCATTTCGGCGTACCCTTCACACGTTTGGTGGCCCCACAGGGAGCTCCACCGAAGGTCTCAGTGGCTGCGGCCGCATGCGGCCCCGCCCCATGTGCGCGCAACCCTCCCGCGCTTCGTAGCCCCATGGGAAGCTCCAACGAACGCCCAAATGGCTGCGGTCGCATGCGGCCCCGCCACATGTCTGCGCTCCTCTTGTAAATTTCGCGGCCCAAAAGGGAGCTCTACCAAAGGCCCCAGTGGCTGCATCCGAATGGCGTGGAGCGATCGTACTCATAGCCGCTACTCGTCTGCAAGGGGTCGGGTCCTTCGCCAGGCTAATTTTTGGGCAGGGTTGGCGGGGGGGTGCCCGCATGATCCCGGGTCTGTCGTAGGTCGGGTGGGGAGGAGGGTGTATACCATAAGGAACAGTGGTGGGCCCCCTCTCCGAAGGGGAAGGGGTGGGGAGGAGGGAGGAGGAGACGCTCTAGACCACCTCGGCCCAGAGGGCTGGTGGGACGTGTGCCGCTGTGGGGGGCCTCCTCCTCCTCCTCCTCCTCCCCCTCCTCCTCCTCCCTCCTCCTCCTCCTCCTCCTCCTCCTCCTCCTCCTCCTCCTCCTCCTCCTCCTCCCTCCTCCTCCTCCTCCTCCTCCTCCTCCTCCTCCTCCTCCTCCTCCTCCTCCTCCTCCTCCTCCTCCTCCTCCTCCTCCTTCTCCGCCCTCCTCCTCCCGCCTCCTCCTCCTCCTCCTCCTCCTCCTCCTCCTCCTCCTCTCCTCCTCCTCCTCCTCCTCCTCCTCCTCTCCTCCTCCTCCTCCTCCTCCTTCTCCGCCCTCCTCCTCCCGCCTCCTCCTCCTCTCCTCCTCCTCCTCCTCCTCCTCCTCCTCCTCCTCTCCTCCTCCTCCTCCCCTCCTCCTCCTCCTCCTCCTCCTCCTCCTCCTCCTCCTCCTCCTCCTCCTCCTTCTCCGCCCTCCTCCTCCCGCCTCCTCCTCCTCCTCCTCCTCCTCCTCCTCCTCCTCCTCCTCCTCCTCCTCCTCCTCCTCCTCCCCCTCCTCCCAGGTCGGCAACTCGGTGATGAAGGTGGCCGGCCAGGAGGAGGCTCTCGGCCTGCGCCTGCGGCTGGCGGGCGTCGGCACCATCATGATCCCCACGATCTACGACCCGTCGGAGATGCGCTCGGAGTTCAACGGCAAGGTCCCCAGGGGGGAGGAGGAGGAGGAGGAGGAGGAGGAGGAGGAGGAGGAGGAGGAGGAGGAGGAGGAGGAGGAGGAGGAGGAGGAGGAGGAGGAGGAGGAGGAGGAGGAGGAGGAGGAGGAGGAGGAGGAGGAGGAGGAGGAGGAGGAGGAGGAGGAGGAGGAGGAGGAGGAGGAGGAGGAGGAGGGAGGAGGAGGAGGAGGAGGAGGAGGAGGAGGAGGAGGAGGAGGAGGAGGGAGGAGAGGAGGGAGAGGAGGAGGAGGAGGAGGAGGAGGAGGAGGAGGAGGAGGAGGAGAAGGGGGGGGGAGGGAAAGCGAATACAATGGAAGCCCATGCCAAGAAGCACCCTGCTTGCCTCTTGGGTGTCCTGGGTGCCTCGGGTTTCGACGGTTTCGCTATGGAGAGGTGTGACGCTCCCTCACCAAAAATCAGTGGACGCCCTGGAGTCTCAGGGTAGGGTTTCTTATGGAAGGTTTCTTGTGGTCGAGCTCCTGCTGTACAGTAGGACCGAGGTGCAAGATCGAGGTTGGCTCGGGGAAGGTAACCCGAGTGTTCTTCGTGCTTGCTGGATGGTCCTGTGCATCCTGGGAGGGCGCTCTCGAGTGTTCTTCAGTTTGGGCCGGCCGAGGGTCTCGTATTCTTGAAGGACGTTATTATGTCCTAGATCCGGCGGTGCCGATGAAGCTATTCAGAGGATCAGAAGATGCCGATGCCGATGCTCGTCCTGGAGAGCTCTCGCCGCCACGGCTGCCTGGTCAGAGCGCACCCCAGGAGAGGCCCAGGGAGTAGCGGTATCGGCACCCTTTCCCAGATTGCACAGATCTTCGACCATACGATCTGCCAAATCCTGGCGGTTCTTCCTTCACTTGGGCTTCCAGGAGCCGTTGTCGGGCCCTGGGGCCACCAGACTTGGACCTGGGACGAAACGCTGCCTCAGGGAACGGGGGTCCAGGACTGCGGGTTTCGCGGATTGGAAACATCAGATCGTCGGATGTCTGGGTGCCGATATTTGTTCTCGTTCTCACCTTCTTTCCTTCCTTCCTTCATTCGAAGAAGAAGAACAAGAAGAATAAGAAGAAGAAGGAGTGACACCTTTGCGGTATAATGCCCTGAGCAGCTTTATGCCATTGCGATGTGAGCCCGCTGGGGGATCGTGATAGGGGGGCTACGATGGGGGGCCACGAGGGGGAGGTCAAGATGAGGGGGCTACGATGGAGGGTCACGAGGGGGGGTCACGATGGGGTGGGGTGTTCGGGATATGGATTGGGGATCGGGGGTGCTGTCAACCCGTACAGCAAGGATCAACAACTTTCTAAGGCTACCCTTGCATCCTTGACCTTCGGCCCAGCCTCGGCCGCTGCTGCTGGCCGCGCCCCGCCCTCAAATTGTCGACATGGCCTTCCAAGGCGCTTGCATCCGTATCGTGTGTCCTTATTATACGGGCTGACGGTAGGGATAAGGATATAGGGCTAGGGACATAGGGATGGGGACGTAGGGATAGGGACATAGGGTTGGGACATGGGCATAGGGACATAGGGCTAGGGATATAGGGATAGGGGCATGGGTAGAAGGGATATGGATAGGGATGGAGCCAGGGGGATACGGATAGATACAGGGTTGGGATCGGCACTGGTAGGCCACGGGAGGCCATGGGAGGGCGTCGCCCGACCGATTCTGGCCGCAGCCCACCTTCGACGGAGAAGCGGGAGGCCACGAGAGATGCGGCGGGAGGCCGCGGAGGGCCACCGGAGGCTCTGCGGGAGGCGACGCGGCCCGACCGATGCCGGATCTGGCAGCCCACCCCGGGTGGGCCAGCGGCGACGTGGGCCAGCGGCGGGCGCGCCTCGAAGCTCGCGCGCTGCCGCAGCATGAGCCGCCAGTGCGTGGGCCGCACGCCGGGCCGAGCAACGCTGAAGCGCACTAAAGCAGCACGAAGTAGCACAAAGCGAAGACCACGAGTGCTAAAATAGGCTCCCATGATTTGCCACCCAGCACCCAGTTTCTTAGACATGGTATGTTGAACCCTAGTCAACACGTCGTTTAGGCAAAGTCTGTAGCAAGCTTACGCTTGCGGAGGTTCGCGCGGAATTCCTGGATCGGCGTGGGACGCTCATGGCGGCGCGCCCATCCGAGAAATCCGCGCGGAACATGTGTTGTTTTCATGCTTTGGCTTCGACCGACGCTTGCTCGCTTGCGCCCGCGGACCAACAAACAAAGGGTGTCCTGCTTGTATTATTGGGCCCTCGTCGCTACGGCTGGATTCGCCTCGGGAGTCTGCCCAGTGCGCACCCCAGGAGAGGTCCAGGGAGTGCAGTCATGACGCCGTTCGGGATCGCTGCTCCTTTGAGATCCTCCCATGGTTGCTATTCTAGCGCTCCTCCGCGCACCCAGGCGCTTTCTGGCGCCAGAGCGCGGCTGCGCCTTTGTCTAGCGTTCCCTTCGGTAGCAGCTTGACTGCAGCGGCGCCGGTCTCTTCTTACTCCCCCCCCCCCCCCGCCGAAAGGTGGTGCGTTATTTGCAGGCCCCGGGCGCCACCGTGAAGGAGGGGGAGCCCTACGTCGAGCTGGAGGCCATGAAGATGATCATGCCGATCAAGGCTCTGCGGCCTGCCCCAGAGAGCGGGGGGTGGTTGGAGTGGTGGTGGTGGTGGTGGTGGTGGCGGCGGTGGTGGTGGTAGTGGTGGTGGTGGTGGTGGTGGTGAGGAGGAGAGGAGGAGGAGGAGGAGGAGGAGGAGGGAGGGGAGGGTGATGGAGAGGGGGAGGTTGGAGGGGGAGGGGAGGGGATGGAGGAGGGAGGAGGAGGAGGAGGGAGGGGAGGGTGATGGAGGGGGAGGTGGAGGGGGAGGGAGGAGATGGAGGAGGGGAGGAGGAGGAGGAGGAGGAGGAGGAGGAGGAGGAGGAGGAGGAGGAGGAGGAGGAGGAGGAGGAGGAGGAGGAGGAGGAGGTGGTGGGGGGATGGTAGAGGGGATGGAGGAGGGAGGAGGAGGAGAAGGAGGAGGAGAAGAAGGAGGAGGAGGAGGATGAGGAGGAGGGGGAGGGGAGAGGGGAGGGGGATGGGGAGGGGATGGAGGAAGAGGAGATGGAGGAGGGAGGAGGAGGAGGAGGAGGAGAGGAGGAGGAGGAGGAGGAGGAGGAGGATCATGCCGATCAAGGCCGGCGCTACCGGCAAGATATCGCAGCTGAAGGGCGCCGGGAGCATCGTGTCCGCCGGAGATCGTTGTGAAGCTAACGGGCCTCCGTCGGACGTTTTCGGTAGTTTCCGTTGTTCCTTGGAGGTCCTCTCGCCTCGAGCAGCTCTTCAACACCTGCGCCTCGTCGAGAGCGTTCTGGGTGTGCCCAGATCGTCCCGAACGACTGCCAGAGGCCAGAGTTCTGGCACGAAATCAATTTGCCATGTAGCGAACGGGTCCTGAGGGTTTTCGCCGTTTTCTGGCTCTCGGGGCTCCCCGGGCCCCAGGACTGTCAAAAGAGCGCGGCTCGGGATGAAAAGCTGGTCGTGCGGAAAGGCACCTGAGTCCTGGGCCTCCTGGGCCCGTCTCCCTCAGGTCGGGCGGGTGGGAATGGGGGTTGAGCCAGATGGGGGGCGAAGAAAAGGGCCCTGGAAGGGGCACTTCAGGGCACCTTCTCGGAGCCAGCAGGACCCTAAAGGGGCACTTTAGGGCCCCGTTTGGAGCCAGCAGGGGCCCAGCAGGGCCCCTTGTAGGACACTTCTCCTCACCCCCCACTTTGGGTCACCCCCCACGTACCTCCCGCCCGATCAGGGCCCGCTTGCTTCATTGCCAAGGAGAGCTCCTGGCGCAGCTGGAGCTGGACGACCCCTCGGCCGTCCAGAAGATCGAGCCCTTCGTCGGCGACTTCGGGCTCAACGCGCAGAGCGAGGACGAGGCGAAGGCGCCCTCGAAGGAGGACCCCATGGAGCAGATCAAGCTTGCCATGGCCGGCTACGTGCCCAGCGAGGTCGCCACCAAGATGGTCCAGGAGGTCTTCAGCGGCCTGGGCTCGGTCGAGGAGCACGGGGGGAAAAGCACACAGACACAATGACTCGTCGACTCCCAGGAAGAGATGGGGCACGGTGGGAAGTGGGGGGAAGACGAAAACCCAGAAAGTATGGAAAAGGATAGGGGAATCCTGCGATTTGTGTCTATTTATTTGTATGTCCCTGGGCCCCTTCAGAGGAGCAGGCAGAAGCTGCGAAGTCCATCTTCGAGTCCTACCTGAAGGTGGAGGAGAGCTTCCTGGACACGTCCTCCACCAAGGATCAAATTCAGGCCGCACTGATTGCAGAGTACAAGGACAACTTGTCTACCGTGGTCGAGCTCTGCATGAGCCACAGCCAGCTGCCCCTTCGCAACGAGATCGTGCTCGCGACACTCCGCAGCGTCGAAAACATCACCAGCAACGAGTCCCTGGCGGCGGTGATTTCTAAGCTTGCGGAGCTGCCGACGAAGATCGGCTATGACGAGGTGGTGCTCGAGGCCGGTCGCAAGTTTTCCGTCATAAGCGCGAAGCCGTTCAAGGAGCGCGTGGACGATCTCAGGAAGGCCCTGAAGACCGCCGAGTCCAACGTCCGGCTCCAAATCATTAGTGAGCAGAAGGCGCTGCAGGCCGGCGTGGACCTGCTCAGCACCCACTTCAAGGACGAGGACGCCACGGTCCGCAAGAACGCCCTCCAGACCTACATTATGCGCATGTTCCGCGGGTTCCGCGTGGAGATCGGGGAGCAGCAGGACGAGGGCGCCTCGAAAATGAGCATCTCCTACCAGTACCAGTACCCCGGAAGCTCCTCGGCGGGAAGCAAGCGCGGGGGGCACTGCGTGGTGATCCCCACCGTGGCCGACATCAAGGCCGCCCTGACGGCCCCCTCGCCCCTGAAGAACACCCGAGGCGAGGGCGCGGACAAGGCGGAGTCGCTGAACAGCCTGCACGTGGTGGTCGCCGAGGGCGTCGGCGGCGGCAGCCAGCCGGGCTTCTTCAGCACCAACCAGGAGGTCGACGAGATCACCACCAGGGTGGAGGGCTGGATCCAGGAGGCCAGCAAGGTGCTGGAGGGCGCCGACATCCGCGAGGTCTGCGTGATGCTGCCCCAGGACAACCAGTACCCGCGCTACCTGACCTTCCTGCGCTGCGCGGGATGGAAGGAGGACCCAACCCGCCGGGACATGCGGCCTACCTTCCCGCACCTGCTCGAGGTGAGCCGCCTCTCCGACTACTACGACCTGGAGCGCATCGTGCCCACCATCGGGCGCAACTCGCAGGTGCAGGGCCCTTGTCGATCCGATCGATCCGATTCGATGTCGGCTCCGACCGGCTCGATCGGATTCGATGCTGATATTCAGGCGATCCGATGGCGCTGTTGTACATCCTGGCGCAGCCGATCCGATTCGATTCCGACTCCGTGCCAATGCGGCCCGATTCGATGCACATGCCGATCCAATCCGAGTTCCCGATTCAATGTTGACTGAACCTGAGGTGTACCTCGGCACCCAAAAGGGCGACGAGGGCGGACGCTTGGGGAAGCAGTCCACCCTCTTTGTGCGCACAATCTCGCACTCTACCCTGGAGGTCGAACAAGATAAGCAAATGCGAGACATACAACAACTGCACACATACATACCGACTGATTATACTTGAGTGTATGTATACATGTGTGTATATATGCATGCATGTCTGTATATATGTCTATGTATGTATGTCTGTATCCATGTAGGTAAACCTGTCTGCATGTAGGTGTGTAGTTATGACGAGGTACAGGCATATGTGTAAGTGCGTATGTATGTATGTATACATACATGTATGTATGTCTGTATGTATGTCCACGCGTAAGTATGTACGGATAGAGGTATTCAACCATGTATGTGTGCATATGTGTGTATATGTATGCGTGTTTATGTGTGTCTGTATGCCTGCATACATATGCGTGCATGCATGCTTGCGTCCATGCATGCATGCATGCATGCGTGTATGCATATGTGTATGGTTGTTTGTATGTATGTGTGCATGCAGGTCTATTGTGTGTGTGTGTGCAGACATGCATGTATGTATGCATGTATGCATGTGTATATGTATGTAAATGTGTATGCTTATGTGTACGTATGAATGTATGCATGACTGTATGTATGTGGGTAGGTATATAGGTACATATGTGTATAGATATATGTTTGTATGTTTGTACATGTATGTATGTATGCATGCATGCGTACCTATATTCATGTATGTAGGTTTGTCTGTCGGTATGTCTGTATGTATGTATGTATGCATGCACGTGTGTATGTAATGTACTGTTTGGTATTGCATTGGTTTGTCTTGTATTGGATTGGATTGCAGTTGAGTGTATTATGTTGTAGTGTATGTCTGCCTGCCTGTCCTGCCTGCCTGTCTGTCTGTCTGTATGTATGTATGCATGTACGTACGTATGTACATGTGAAGGTATGTATACATGCATACAGACATACATGCATGCGTACATACATACAACAGGGGCCCGGGGGCCCGGGGGCCACGACCTCTACCACAAATGTGTGGCCCAGGGGCCCAGCCGATCCTTGGGGGGCCCGAAATCGCCTCGGAGGGCGGTCCGATGAGCGTCACGCCGGCCCCAGCCAGCCGCCCACCACCCTGAAGACGGCTTCGACGGATCACGGGACGTCTCCAACGGCCCCAGAGGCTTCGAAGACGCTTCATAACCCGTGTAATTTGCCTCCAGAGCGTACATGTTTACCGTATTCGTGCTTTTCGTCTTCGCACCATCCTTGACGACTTCAGGGGCCCCTAAGATCGCCCCTGCATGGCCCAAGAGACTCCCCAGAGGGCGCCAAGACGGCCCAAGAGGGTCCCAGGCCGGTCCCAGAGGCACCCGAGACGGCCCCAACGGCCTCCCAGAGCTCCGAGAGGAGCCCATGATGGGGCGATCCAACTGGAATTGCGAGCCCGACGCCCCAAGAGGACCCCCGAGACCCCCAAGAGGCCTCTAAGCAGCCAGCAAGATGCCTCCAAGACGCCTCATAACCCGTGCAATTTGACCCCCCAGAGGGCCCCGAGAGGCAAAAATGGCCCCATTCCCTTCGTCAAACGTACATGTTGACCGCATTCGTGTTTTTCGTCTTCGTACCGTCCTTGACAGCCTCGGGGGCCCCTACGATCGCCCCAACACGACCCAAGAGACCCCCCAGAGGGCGCCAAGACGGCCCAAGAGGGTCCCAAGACAGTCCCAGAGGCAGCGGAGATGGCCCGAACGGCCTCCCAAATGGCCCCAAGAAGAATTCGAGCTGGGGAAATCCAATTGGAATTGCGAGCCCCCCGCTCCAAGAGGACCCGCTGAGGCCCCCAAGAGGCTCCGAAGACGCTCAAGATGCCCTCAAGACGGCCGACGAGGACTCCAACACGCTCCAGGACGGATTCAAGAGGCTCCCCAAGAGGGCCCTGGGAGGCAAAATTAATGTATTGTCCTATGATTTTTGAAGGATTTTGGCGTTCTTGCTTTTCCCGCTTTCCAGCGCTCCCTCACGGCCTCGGAGGCCCTTCAGATCGCTCCAAGACGGCCCACGAGGCCCCGAAGAGGGCCCCAAGACGGCCCAGGATGCTCCCTTGACAACCCAAGTGTGCCCCAAGAGCGCCCCAAGAGGGCGCCCAGAGGCGACCCGAGGCGGCCTGGGCCCGCCCTGGAACAGGCCACGACAGGCTTGGGAAGTCCCGAGAGGGCCCAAGACGCTCCCAAGAGGCCCCGAAAACGCCCAAGTTGCCCTGAAGACGGCCGACGAGGATTCCAACACGCTCCAGGACGGACTCAAGAGGCTCCCCAAGAGGGCCCTGGGAGGCAAAAATCACAAATTTCATGGTTTTCGAAGGATTTGGGCGTTCTCGCTTTCTCCGCTTCACAGCGCTCCCTCACGGCCTCGGAGGCCCTCCATATCGCTCCAAGACGACCCACGAGGTCCCGAAGAGGGCCCCAAGACGGCCCAGGAGGCTCCCAGACAACCAAGTGTGCCCCAAGAGCGCCCCAAGAGGGGGCCCAGAGAGAGAGACCGCCAACCGATATTCCGAGGTCTGGCCCTCGAGGCCCCCAGTAGGTCCCTGGAGGCCACCAAGAGGCTTCCACGAAGCCCCATGTGGCGCCCGAGAGCCCCCCAGGAAGCCCCAAGAGATCCCCAAGAGTTACTGGAGGCCCCTAAGGGGCCCTTAGGGAACGCCCAAGAGGCCCCCCAACACACCCGAAGAAATCATGTCCCCAGAAAGCCTTCCGGGGACATGGTTCATCATGGGCCCGAGAGTTCCCGGAGGCCCCCAAGGGGCCCCCAGGGAACGCCCAAGCCCCAACACGCCCCAAGAAATCATGGGCTCGAGAGTCTCCGGAGGCTCCGAAGTACCATCACACTATCGGAGATCTGTCTGGGAAGTTGACTGCGAAAATGACTGGTCGCCTTCTCGCGGCATCCCGCAGATCATTTCGCACAACGTTGCCCCAAGTGCCCTCTTGAACCGACGACGACGACGACGACGAAACGACGAAGACGATGACGAGGACGACGACGACGACGGCGCGCCCCAAGAGGCGACGACGGCAATATGACAACGACAACGACAACGACGGCACGCCCCAACAGGCTTCCCAAGACGCCCCCAAAACCCATGTTCCCAGAAGGCCTTCTGGGAACCCGATTCATCGGGCCTCCGCCCCGCTACGCAACCATCTTCCCGGAAAGCCTTCCGGAATGCGGATTGACAATCGTGGAGTGTGGTCCACTTCTTCAGTGGAGCAGTGAATTCGTCAAGGCTTGGGGCCTGCTAGAACCATCGCGCGCGCTTCGCGCGCGCGATGGTTCTAGTACGTATGTGCGTATGTATGTACGTACGTATCCGTGTAGGCAGGTAGGTGTGCAGGTATGTAGGTATGTAGGTATGTAGGCTTGTGGCTTCGCCAGGAAATACGTATGTATGTAAACATGTATGCATGTGTGCACGTATGTATGTATGTATGTATGTGTGTATGTATGTATGTATGTATGTACGTACGTATGTATGCATGCATGCATGCATGCATGTATGCATGTATGTATGTATGTATGTATGTATGTATGTATGTATGTATGTATGTATGTATGTATGTAGCATGCGTGCATGTACGTATGTATGTGTGTATGCGTTCATGTGTGCATGTATGTACGTATGCATGTACATTTGCATGACGCATGTACGCATGCATGAACGCGTGTATGTATGGTTGCATGTAGGTATGCCTGGTTGTGTGTATATATGTGTGTATGTATATGTTCCTGTATGTATGTATGTATGTATGTATGTGTGTATGGATGTATGTATGTGCCTGCAAATCGATGTACGTTTGTACATATGTGTGTACGTATGTGTGCGCATGTACGTACATGCGCAGGCATGTATGTATGTATGTATGTATGTATGTATGTATGGATGTATGTATGTATGTATGTGCGTATGCATGTGTGTGCTCATGTATGTATGTATGTATGTATGTATGTACGTATGTACGTTTGTGTGTATGTATGCATGTAAGCAATGTATGTATGTATGGATGCATGTGTGTATGTATGTATGCGTGCATGTATGTATGTATGTATGTATGTATGTATGTATGTATGTATGTATATAGGCATGTATATGTGTATGTATGTTTATATGTATGTATGTATCCATGTATGTGTGTAGGTATGTATGTATGTGTGTGTATGTATGTATGTATGTATGCATGCATGCACGCATGTATGTATGTATGTATGTATGTCTATATGCGTGTATGTATGTATGTATGTATGTATGTATGTATGTATGTA